GTGTCACAGGGTTCTATCCTAGGACTGCTGGTGCTTTTGATTTTTATCAATGGTCTACCATGCCGTCTGAGCTGCCTGACTCTTTTAGACGCTGACGACGTAAAGATATGGAGGGCGATAAAGTGTCCGGAGGACTCAGATAGGCTGCAGGCAGATCTAAAGCTTCTGGAAGACTGGACGTTTGATAGATTTATGGGGCATCTTGAAAATTAACTTGCTATCCATCGTCGAATCTTTGAATACCACTTCACAGTGTCTCATCTCATTTGTTTTCTAATAACGCCTTTACTTGATCCTCATTACACTCCATTAAACCTAACATTTTATGGCTCTATATGAATTCGATTAGACTCATTCTATTCCTATTCTCTGTAGGGTACGGTTGTGCACCGAATGCACAAAACGTTATAAAATAAAAACAACGAGGATGAGGATAAATGTATTAAAACCGAAAGTAAGACCTATATGGGTAGCATTATACATTGCAAATAAACGTTGTCAGCCTAGGGAGTTTCCTTTATAAATGCATTTGTTAATGATACTTGCACTTACTTATTTCACTACACTTTAATGATTCACCTTAGCACTTTTACTTTTCTAAAACAGCTTTGAATCCCTTGTAAAAGTTGCACTTACCCCAATATCGATTGGTTACCGTATGCCTACAACCACGGGTTGAAAACGAAATGCAGTTGATTTTCCCGCTCAACCTAGAGGACAACTGTACAATTCAATAACTATACGGCCTGGCTTAGACAATGAGTGTATTTATATATGTGTATCAAATATTTAACTGTTTAAACATTATTAACTTGTAGACAATCTACGATTTGATATTATATCATACTTGATGGTGCCCGTAAAAATGGCATACATTTTCATGTAAATTTATATGTTTATATGAAAATATACATTATTATTATTGTAGGGGTATGACTTTCAGCCTGAAAAAGTGCAAAGTGGCGAAACTGTGCACCTGTGGGCTGCAGAATGCAAGTTAAACCCTGTGCAATGGAAGCTCGTCCTGTACAACGTCGGAGCGCGACTTAGGTCTAATTCTAACGGAAAAAGTGGACACAAGCGTAAATTACACGGGAGATGTAGCGAGGGCACATGAGGCCATACACTTTGCACATAGACAGTTGGGTGCATTCACTCCCAAGCAGTTTCTAAGGTTGTACAAAAAATACATCAAACCACACTTTGAAGTGCATAATGCTATTGCACCCCCACTGCTTAGAAGAGATGCCAACCTCTTGGAAAGAATCCAACGACGGGCAACAAAAGGAGTGGTTGGTCTCCGAAAGAAACCATATGATGAAACGCTGAAGAAACTAGGCTTATTCACACTTAGCTACCGCCGGCTTAGGGGGGGTTTAATTACTGCCTACAAAATAGCAAATGACCAGAATCACCCAAACAAATGTGTGCTGTCCCTGAGTGGGTTTAGGCTCCCTCGTGGAAATCCCAGAAGGATAGGTCACGAGAGGGCAAAGACTCGGGTGCGCTCCCACTTTTTCTCACTGCAGGTTTGCCGTACCTGGAACCCATTTACGGGCAGATGCAGCAATGGCACCGTCTCTGGACACCTTTAAGCTCAGGCTGGACAGTCATGCAGCGGCACGAGGACTGCGTCCAGATGGCCTGCCCTCTGAAAATCCCATACACCATTCACGGGTAGACACCTAAATTTTTCATTTCACTTCTTCACGTTTTCTTCCATCTTACTCTCCTGACAACTCGAGCTACTGCACTTATTATTATTGCTGATGTTATATATATCAACTTCAAATTTAATTAGCTGTATGTTTTTAAGTTTTTTCTATATTTCTTTTTCTGTTTTTTAGTCCGAATAACCTACAATGATTGTATCTGTTATTATCTCTTTCCTTTAGACGACGATACCGGAGGACCAAATGGTGAAAGGATCAAATGGCATACTACCAAATGACAGAGTTCCTTCTATTTGCCTTTCGTTATCAGATAAAATATGGAGGTCATGTAATGATCGCATAGTCATTCTACATTTAAGGGGGTTGATACCAATAACTTGTCACTGATTAGGACATAGTTCATTTTGGAGTCAAGTTAATTTAACTTCGTCTGGAATTTATTTACTTGTGTTTGAATGTCATGAATGAGGCATGCTAATTTAGAAAGCCCAGAGTTCCCCAATAAATTATTTGGTTGGGTGGTCCATATCTATTTAGTCACAAAAGGGGTACAGAAGCGACAATGACTTCCGAACGATCAGTTTAGATAAGCCAAGTAGATGACGTTACATTCATGAAAAAACGTACTTCACAAAATGTTGTGATATTAAAGGGGGCATTTAATAAGTTGTAGATCGGGTTTAGGAAAGATTAAGCCCAGGTTTGCGTCTGGGACAGGTTAGGGTCAGGTTAACCTATTTAGGTAGATATTTAGGCTGGCGCGAGTTAGGCTGAAGTCGAGGTAAGAGGATCGAATTTATCTATCAGCAGTATGTCTACTTCCATGGTCACTGGCGTATTCGCAGAAGTTCAGTGCCCAGCGTTTAACTTTGCCATAAATAATCCCCAATTATTTCAAAATAGTGGACGTCAGTTTACAGGAGTTACCAATATGTGAAATCATAAAATATGGTGTGTCGCTGTTTACATCCCACCAGTGATCACGTATGTCTATAAAACAAAGATGCCATATCACCGTATATCCAGAGTTGGTGCGATTGCACCTCTTTGATATCCAAAGTTTAACTTCCCCTTAGTTTTAATTATGTGACTTCGAATATGAATTTAGAAAACTTTGTATCTGTCTATGAAGCCTGGAAAATGCAGCTCTTATATGACTGGATGTGGTGTTCTTTCCTTTCTGGATTAACGTCAATGCTCGTATAGAGACAAGTCAATTACAACATGGGCATGTATTTTGATCTTATGTTAGGGTAATAGCATTAAGGCACTGCGAGAGTGACCCTGCTGTAAGACTTCAGACCTAAGTTAGGCTAGGCCTATGACATTAGTCGACTTTGAATCTCAAAAATATCAAGTTGCCGAATATGACCGAAACAGCCATGAGGGATGGGTTAATTTCGTTTACTAGGTATTTCTTTTTGAAGTTCTTGTTCCAAACTGTCACCAATCTTTTCCCATTTCATGCATCATGCTCAGCACAATAATCGATGTCTGCAAAGTGACTATGGTGTTAAGAGCACGTCTTCCGTAATCCGCAATCACGGTTTACCGGAACACGCTTTAATGGTTATGCAAGGCCAACAACACTCCTATAGAGTTTGCTTTTGACGTCTAACTACACCAGACTTCATGCTAATAGCGGGCAGATATGCTAGAGTCGACAGCATGAGTTGTGAACTGATGCATACCTACTTCTAGACATCTTAATTGTGACTTGCTGTTAGGAGGGGGCCGTTCTGTCGATTTCTTGTTCGAAATGGCGGTACACTTTTGATGTTTCTCACCAGAAGATGATTATCTGATATTTTCTACCTGGAAAAGTGACACACGTAGACGAGAACCTAGTGCTTAGATAGCAGATAAACCGCGGACAAATTGGGAAAGAAACCGCGTGAGCAGCTGCCACGAGCGGGCTACCCAACGCAGCGTCGGTGAGATATGATTCTACCTGGCTCTGACCCGCAACAGGTGTTTACTCAACCGCCTCAGCGGGACTTTGCTATATAAAAAGAACCTTACAGTTCATAAAGAAGATATAATTCCTACTTGGCTGCTTGTCTCGTCTTTATGTCTTAATTAATCATCGACTGCCTATGAGTGAGAGTACTGCTGCTTAGGTCCTACAATGTTACTAAATCATATGGCATTATAACTTCACTACTAAAACGCAACTAGTAGCGAGCAGATTGTAAGCCTTATGTAGAGGTAACTAGTTTGTTACTTATCTTGTAAGAATGTGATCTTTATTAACAAGAGGCTACCACTTTGATTCACTAAACTATGTAACAATGTAAAAACCACATATGCTCGCGAAAACAGAACTAAACACAATATTTTTTATTATCATGGTAGGTTCGCATATGCAGTGAAACTTCATAGACTACTTAAACTTGTGCAGGTGGCTATTTCCTATATTGACATGACAGGGCTTGAGTTATTGAAGCACCCTTCTACCTCTTTATATAGAAGGTTCTTAACAGTAGGCTGAATCGTGAGGAATGTGACATAGAATACAATTCTCGACTTAACCCATTATATTTTTAGTATTTTGTGTTCAGTACGTTCAACGCATCTGAAGTGCCATTCGTAAGTTTACCTCTTCCTTTTTCAAATTTTATCCAAGAACATATCTGTGTTCTATTAGGATGACTCATATTTCGTCCAGTGAGGATCCAAAACCTTCAAAATCAGATTCCTTCTAGTGTAGCCAAAGTCTCCCTACCTCATTAGCTCATTTCTCGGCATATATTTAGGCAGCTAGCTGAGTAATGATTCCATACTTCCCCATATATTGATTTTTAGTGCCTAGGTCAGTTTTATACCTTGCTGTCGACACTTTTCTTTCTTTGTTTTCTTCCCAATGAATTTCTAAGCTGGCTACTGAAAACTTAAAAACAGTCAGATTCCTCATGAAAGAGAATGATATTCGCGCATACTGGCAGTGCTAAAGTACATGTGCTAAACTTGCAGATAGAGAATCTTCTTATTCTGAAACTAAGATTCACTTCATATCATTTTCCAGTCTGAACGATCGCTCTACAACCCGTCGGTTGAGTATATTCTTCTTCTTAATTCTGACTTTATGGTCTAGTATAAGGTAAAACAGTAACTGACAAATATCTAACTAAAGAAGTGTTGCTTCTTGAATCACACATTCATAAATCAAGTGCTGTGAGCTTAGTCTCTGTTTAGTGGAAAGAATTCCTCAGAAGATTGGTAATAAACCAGAAAGAATATCTGGATGACGAAAAACAGTGGCAAACAACGGTATACGACCAGAGCATTCTGACTTTGTCGTTTGTTTACACCAACCACTTAAATGCCGACCTTCAGCCATCTAGGTCAATCGGATGATACATAGAACGATTGGTTGCATTTATAATGACTTTGTGTAGAACGTAGTCCAACATCGAACGACTGCTTCTGCATATCGTTTCTTCTCATATTAAAGTTGTACTTCACTGCAGTTGGTGTTCAGGCAGCTATGATACAGGACTCTGAACCTCCTAGCTTGCTTTCCAGCACAGCTGATTCAGTAAAATCCAGTGCAATGCAAAAGAAAATACGCCGAAAACATTTTAAAAACGATTCTGCTGTCAAAGGTTTGTCACTTAAGTACAAATTTCATCCTGTTTAGCTTACAAATGTGATTTAACCAGTCAAAATATCAATACTCCTGTGAAGTTATATGTTTGTCACTCTGCTCTAAATTTGGTTCATCGTCCGAAGCGAAAGATTATGGTATGAACTTAAATTATTACATTTCACTGTTAGACTACTCTCCCTTTCAGTCAAATTGTCGAGCTTAAAATACATGATGAAAAGACTGTGAAAATTTATACAGTCAGCAATGTAAGTCAGTTTCTGCTAAGTATTATACTACATTTTATTACATTTAATCTTTGCTTAACGACAACTTCATTTTATACTTGTAACTAATGTAAGCTTCTGAATTTTTAAATTAAAGGAAATGTACACTCTTACCAACTTTGACCGACCGGATTCTGCGATTGCTTTTCTCCGAAATTATTGGGAAGTTATTTTGAAAGAAAAAGTAAGCATATGCATATTGTTTCCTTAAAAAATACATTAATTTTCGAGTCTGTCTGTCTGTTTTCGACATAATTTTCGAATAACTTCTTAAAGTCAAAAGGCTGATGGGAATCCCTGAGTTATACATCTTTTTCATGGTCCACAGCAAATTATTTATTTTCACTGTGATTTCATGGTGTATGAACATTTCTACATTATCTTTAAGACTATGAATTGGCTCTAACTAACTTGCACAGAACTCCAAAAATGGGCTTGCAGGAGCCTGTGACTATCTGTAATCACTGTAAAAGCCAATACACTTGATTTTATTATCATATGTTCATAGTTTCCTCAAACAGAAAATTCACATGTTTATCAAGGAAGTTTGGTAAATGCGTTGCTGGGGTCCTAGATGATATTGGGCACCATTATATAGCTAATTGTTCCTACAAATGTGTAGCGTTCATTCAGGAGTACTTATGACAAATTCAGCGTTTGATTTCGGAGTCGCTACTTTTTATATTTTCGTCCAGTGGCTCAGGAAGTATTAGGAATGAAATAAGTGATTAATTATAAATATCGAATCGATCATAAGCCGACATCAGTTAGAGAGACCTTAAGTCTCGAACTAGGACGGAATACCTGTCCAGTGCTTTCAGGTTTTCCAGTTATGTCAGTTCATGATCAATTCTGTAACCAATCAAACCCGTTCAGACGGACACTTGATAATTATAAATACAGTAACTAGTTTGGGGTTTGTCTCATTTCAGTGTAACCGAGCTTTAAATTTAAATGAAATCATAGCATTTATTTGCAGTCAACTTTTAGAGATATACCACTACTCATATTATGGCGTTGGTTGCTTAGTGGTAGAATACTCCCCAACCGCGCCACACATCTGGAGTTTGGTTCTCGGATGATGCACTCCTAGACTTCGCTTAGTCCGTAGTGGGTTGATAATATTAAGATATATCTTAGCAGCTATCATTGTGTTTAAAACATCGTCCAGTAAATAATACTGTTGCTCTGTGATTCATGTTCAGTTAACAAATTAATATTGAATTACACACTACCCCAGTGCCCAAGTTTTATGCATTAGTTTTCCTGTTGACTGACTTATATCTAGGAATCTATGCAGGTATCTTTAAATTATTGTTTAATTTATGTAGTAATTTCTGGCCTTATGCTAAGCTTATCCAACCATCTCTAACTTTTTTATATGACTCAAAGCAGTATTTAGTTGTCCACCTTTGTTTCTGCATCATTTCAGAGTATGATTTAACTCTATTAATTTATGGTTCATTTTTATTTCTTGTCTTGTGATCCTACTGCTTATATATTTCTCAACTCATAATACAAAAATGAAGAATAGGATGAGTAAAGTTTTTGCATGATCTGACTTCTGTTAAACATCAAATATTACGCTACTTGTTTCTACATCCTATCTACTTTATTGCTCAGTACATAATAATGAAATGTTTTTGTTCTCTACATATTTATACACTTTAGAGTAACCTTCCATTTTTTTGTCAGGATTGATGAAACTTCTTGCCTTCTTGATATTTTGTGAATGAAGTAAGGTTAGAACATATGGACCACAGCTTCTTATGTTTTCTTCTTTGTAGTAGTCTTGTTGGATTATCTGTAAGTTCCGTTCTTACCAAATACTAGTGGGTTCTTCTTCTTCAGTAGCTGGATTATTGATGGGCTCGCTTCGCCACCTGAAGTGCCTGGGTTCGATGCTAAGTGGGGTCATGTGTGCATACTGCTTAAGAGTTAGGCGTAGAGTGTTGGGCAAAGAGGGAAAATCAATCGACGAGGCTATAAAGTTACATAGACTAAGATGGCTAGGTCACGTGCTGCGCATGCCTAACCACCGCCTCCCCCGACGGGCATTGTTAGCTGATATAGGTTCAGGTTGGAAAAGAGCCAGTGGTGGCCAAACAAAAACATGGCATCAATCCATGAAATCCTTGACAGTTAAACTGAGTCAGGTAGGGAGATGCAGACTCCCGGGTTGGGGCCGTCGGGACTCTAGGAATCAATGGCTGGAGACAATAGGTGACATGGCTCAAACTCATCGTTGTCAATGTCCAGCGCAGATGTATTCAGTCTCTGTAATCTTTCATATTCCTTTCTACCATTACCCATTCTGTTTCACTCTTATACTTGTCAGACTGTATTGATTCTCTTCACTCATCTTCTTGTCTACCTCTGTGTGCTATTTGGAAGGTGGCAACTCGAACTGGTGCACTTCGATGCCAAGTTCTATGTTGAATCCAGACAGACAGACTGCTTAAGAGTCCCAAACTAGGTCCAGTATTTCCTGTTTTTCAGTGGTTCTCTCAGTAATGTCATTTTGTTATCTAATTCCTTGAAATCGATCAAATACTTATGAAGTGGTGATGCTTGCAAATACAAATGTTTAAGATTCTTTGAAGACATGCTTTTCAGTCTTCAGTATCACAATATAACGGTTAATTTGTTCATCCATGAACTAGGGATAAATACTTTAACCATCCATCGTAATTTCTCATATTAATTAACAAACTAGTCTGTTGAGAAATCTACATTACGTAGAGTAAGTTTGGAAGTGGTATACATACAGGTTTCGAATAGTGAGATGGAAACAAGGAATTCTGATTAATAGTTGAGGCTAAGTTAGAAGATGAACCATCGGCAAGTTCTGTTTCGTTTTGATGCTGCGTCATTTTAACTTCAGTTACGTTAGTCAATAATTTTTCATTAACGTGGCATTAGCATAGTATAGAAAGCTTTTGAAGTCAACTTTTCTCTGCATGTAAAAGATGCTTTGCAAGCTTCATCAGGTGATATTAACTCAGTCCGTAATACAATTACAATCGACATTTTGAAAGATGTCGCAAGGTACTTCACAGGTGGATCAATAAGTTATCAACAGCAGCGTATGACCATGCATAATGGCATATCGGGCCAACTGGATAGGGCGAAAAAGTTAGCACATCTAAGGGAAGTGAAGACAGACACTGAAAAAGGCAGTTAAATCAAAAACATGAAAAGGTATAGAATAATAATAAAATTGATCTGATTTAATGATATAAATTGAATGGATTTTCTCCTGTGTGATTAGTTTTGTCCCATAGGCAGTCACTTATTTCAACGTAGAACTCTGCAAATCTGTTCAAAGTTCTACGTTGAAAACAGTCAGTCAGTCAGTCAGTCACGTATCCTTCATTAAAAATATGATTCTTTGAAGCTGAGGAATCATAATTTATCGTGTATAGCTGTTGCAGTCATCAGGTAAAAAGGAAGGGAGGCAGAATGTTTAATCAACGTCTTAGTATCAGTCTCTTATGACGTAGTTTTCTGTAGTTTTATTCATTCACTCAGCTGTTTTGTCCTATTTCGAGGTTCTTCATCAGTATGCACCCTCTGGGGTTCGAAACAACAACCTTCCTGTTCCATAAAAGTTTCAGAAAGCAATCGTGATGTGGATTATCATTTTTCTAGTTGAATAAATGCGAAGTTAAAACTACCTCTTTGTCATGATTTAATAAACAAACAGTATAAATCTGTAGTGAAAGCTCCGTTGTGAAACGTGTGTGTTGCCTTTGTCTTAGCTCATTATCATTTTCTAATTGAATTCCACATGAACTAAAAACAAGCCAGACAGCTGTTAAATGGTGATTTCAAATGTATTCTTCTATTTCTCTAAATTATATTATTATTATTATTATTATTGACCATAGAATCGGACCATATTGTCATTATAATAATTATAATCAATTGGAGTTATTGAATTTATCTAGGGAATGTTTGATTTTTTGTCAAAAACTCTTAGTATATGTATATATATATATATATATATTTATTTATTGGAACTTTTATCTATACAGTACTTCGACTGACCCCTTCAAAAGAATGTTGGTATCTATATGTTTTTATTAAAATTATTTTATTTATCAATCCTCATCTGAAACGTAGTCGCAATCATTGGGCAATGGGCTTGAATGTTGTTTCACTTACTGGGGTTATTTAGTCAGCCGGATGGTAAGTAGTAGTATTATTAGACCTTACACAGGTTTACCACCTTACCAGCTGGCTGCTGGGAAGTGTAGGTGACTGTTGAGTGTTACTTCTCCAATAACTTGTATTATTATCATGCTTAGAGTGAGTGTGATACATGAGCAGACGTGAACGGTATGTAACTGCATTATTAGATATCATTTCAAGTAACAATGGGTTAGTTGTTTACCGTTAGAATTCTCTTCAACCATGACGGTGGTCCGGATTTAGCTCCCAACCGACGCGCTACTAAACTTCTCCTGGCTGACATTATTATTGAAGAAGATGGAAGTTTGGGTTTGAGGTCAACGAGCCTACTCCGTAAAAACCACTGCTACTGAAAATTCAAAGCCCAAAGCCTTAAATCCTGTATCTCCCACTCGGAATGCAAGGAGTGCAAAAAAATTTCCAATTGACTACGTTGACTTATCAAATCCCAGGGGGGGGGGGTAAAGCAGACGATACATACTTTTGCCAGAAGTCTAGAAGTTAGATTGTTATTTTATAAAGGGGGTCTGAAGATTTTCTTGTAGTGTGCCATTGTCTAAACACCGATGCAGCTTCACTTTCACTAATGACTAGTGTAGTCCTTATTTACTTGGTTAACTTCAATGTAATGAGTGGTACATTTTCAACTAAGTTTATAAGAATATTTTATGTTGTCATAATGATATGTGTGGGTGTTTGTCACTGACACACACAGACACACACGTTCGCTCACTGTCTGTAGTTGGAAGTGTTGTCCTTTTCTCTTTATTGCTTTATTTGATGCTAATATAATTACTTCCTACTCATAATCGATCAATAGATGGTGAGCGCTGAGGGATATGGGGTTGGTGGTAGTTAGTGTCAGGAAATGGGATATTATCCGCATTTTAAGCTACAAATCTCTGTTATTCCAAAGGAAAATCAAGTGTATAACTTCTCACAATCATCTATTTCATGCTATTTCATACGGTGTATGAGATAGGTATAATAAAGTTTTAAAATGGGGTAGAAAAGTAATTCCAGTCTTATTAAAAGTTAATTTATGTTTTTTCCTCTTGAATTGATGTAAACTACGTTTTATGAGTTTTATCAAACGACACAAGCAGAGCTCTGGATTAATAAATGATTGCATTCATACTTTTCTGATAGGGAGTAGTACACTGTATGTATATATGTATAATGGGAAGTCTTCCATTGGTTTACTTTAGCCGGTGTTCCCCAAGGTGCTGTTCTTTCTCCTTTTCCGTTTTCTTTCTTACATAATTTGCCCCATTCTGGTGGGGTATGCTGATAATTTAAATTTTTGCAGGCCGGTTACCTCTCAATCAGATTAGTCCAAAATGAATAACGTTTTATTAGAAAATTGGTCAAAAGCAAAATTACTGCAAGTGTGGAATTGTTATTTTCACTTTCTCAGACACGAATGATGTTTGAATGAACTGGTTTGTCGACATAGTTCCTGTATCATAGAAAGTGATGAAATTGAAACTAAGTCGAATGTTAAATATCTTCGATTATGTTATTTCATCTGATTTTCCTTGGTCTTCTGAATCATGTTAATTTCTAGAAGGGTATTTCATCTAACTTTCTACTCGAGGAAGTTAAGACAGTTTGGTGTCACTCAGTCTCCAATTTTATGGTTTTTTTTAACTTTTGTCTTCTTCTAGTTCTTCTTTATTGCTCCTCACCAACCTAATTTTTCTTGGTTTATTTAAGAAAGACTTTGTTTCACTGCGAATAGCACTAAAAGTTATCGGTAGGGCTAGTGGACTTCCACTAAAACAACTTGTTGCAGGTAGACATTTGAACTCATACCAAAAAGTGGTGAATATTCTCTTGTCGGACTCCGTGTATCCTCTGTATGCCCAAGTCTCATCACCCTGCATTTCATCAGGTAGTAACAGAAGTAAATAAAAAAAGATTATGCCCCAGACAACTAAGTATAAAAACCTTACGATATCTTAATTGGCATACATTTTATGTGATGAAGAAATTGTTAGGTGTAAAGCCGCCAGCTTACTGAGAAACAGCAAATAATCAGCGCTTTTTATGCTTTCTGTTATTCATATATTGTTGTCAATATTTCTGTTTATGATTAATCTTATATTTATACTTTTATTGACATTAATGTCGCTGTAAATGTCCTGTTAATTATTGCCCAACTCTCCTTACTATGTAATTTAAAGAGATTATAAGCAATATTGTACTACATGCTGAAATATCCCCACTATTTGAAAGGAAGTCATTATTAGCAGTATCGGTAAACTAAAAGCTAACTTATATGTTAAATTTATAAATTCGTATATATGTTTCTTTTTCAAGTATTGGTTTTGTCGGGATTTTGTTTGATTTCATGGAGGATTTCATCATGAGCTGACATCGGTTAGAGAACCACTGGAAAACCTAGGAGTACTGGACAGCTGTTTCATCCTAGTCTGGCACTGGCTCTTCAACAGTACGCACCCACCCCACTGCGGTTCGAACCCAGGACCTTCTGGTTATAAGGTAAGTGAACTTCGTAGACCATTGAGCCACTGGGACCCGATCCAACGGCCAGCCCATGAATTCTAACTTCTGCCAATTCACGACTTAGCGCGACCATTTCTCAATGTCATGAATTGGCAGAAGTTAGAATTCATGGGCTGGCCGTTGGATTGGGTCCCAGTGGCTCAACGGTGTACGAGTTCACTTACCTTGTAACCAAGATGGTCCTGGATTCGAATCACACATATATATATATATATATATATATATATATATGTATTCGTTTTGCTAATGTCTAGTTTAGATCTCTGAGCAGACATCATTTACGTTTAGGTTAGGGATGCGCCTTGTTGATGAGTGACAGTGAGCGCGAAACACCGGTCCAGGACTTCCTGCCAACTGCCTGGGACGACCACTTAACATCACTTCAAAGTGCAAAGCAACACTGAATTACGCAGCTTAATGACCCGACGTTGCAAACTTGACTGGTGGAATTTAGTCAGTAGTCAGCAGCAGCATCAAGGACTAGACACCTAATGATGATGATGATGATGATGATGATGGCAGCTCCCCAGTGATAAGTCCATGTATATTCGTATATGCGTATGTTTATTGCGTTTTATCATTATCTTCTTCTTCTCTAATTTATTTTTTTTTCAGAGTTTTTCCGCATCTACATATGGAAATTCAATACACAATGGATTGCCCAGTAGTAATAATAATAACCCTCTTTCTGCACATCGGAATGCAGTCATCGCTGATTTGTATAATCGTCTGCTAATTTCAAAAGGTTCAACTACTGTCAGTTTAACAAGTACTAGTGGAGGGGCTACAGGCAGTATAAGTAACAGTGAGACAGACAGTGTCACTGGTTCACAAAGACAAGGTAGTTTATAATATACATGTGGTTGCATTATATTTCGTGTGTGTAGAACTTATATGTAAATTGATATGTATTTTACCCTTCGCTAATTACTTGCTAAGTATTGTCTTTTTGCCAGACATAATAGAGATAAAGAAAGTGACAAATCTCAGGAAACTGTAATAAACGAAAATGTATAGGCGAATCAACAATTACATGGAGAATAATGACAGTCTAGTGAATATAAGGTGTTATATGAAGGGTGAGTTTGCCTACGCAATCAAGAACCGTTTTCAGCCACTCTAAGCAATAGTCCCCAGCCAGTGTATTTTAGCGTGTCAACAACTCCAGCTTGTGATAGTGTACACTTCCTAATGTGGTTCGAATACTTCTTGGATTGACGCTATGTATTGATTGACCTGACCGCCCTAACTCTTCTTCACTCTAATCCTACATCAGCTAACACTGGTGCAGTCCTAATCAGTGCAGTTCGATATACTGCACCAATTGAGTTTCCCTCCGTCGATGGATTTACACTTCACACCTGACATGGTAGACCCGTCCCATAACTAGGATAAAACAACTAGCCAATACTGTGTGATTTTTAAATGGTTTCTTCATCTGGTTTCAGTTACTGACGAAATGTATATTGGAGTTAATCAAGGTCGCTACAAAACTCGTGGTAGTAGTAGTAGTGTGGTGAGAGCAGGCTGCTAGCCGATTGGTTGGCACTAATCTACGTTAAGGTCTAGGTCACTAATATGGGCCGTGAGAAAATATGAACAAGCCTGAGTCAACAACCAATCACAGCAAAGTTAACGTGGCAAAATATGATTCGCAGAGAGAACTCTATTTGTCAAGGAATCCCGAAACAACCAATCAGAAGCCTGCGTTTGTCTACCTAAACAACCAATCAGATGACTGCGCTTGTCTATAATAATGTAGTTGAAAGATGTATAAATACGTGTTGATTTTCATAATAAAACGATCTGTTGCCTGGCCCTTGTCTTCTGTTGTTACATTTGGTGTCGCTGCCTACCGACAAATGAAAAGCCTATACCCTGCAGTTTTTGATGGAGACATATGGATCTTCGGGCAGGACTTCAAGGCTTCTGCGCAGTTGAGTGGCGTTCAAGATCTGCCAGCGATGGAGCTGCTACTTGAGACGCTGCTGGGAGGTCGGGCGAAAGCAGCATATGAAGGTGTCGGCCGAAGTATGGACGAATGTTCGACAGGGTCAGGCAAACAGTTTCCAAAGTGGGAAGGACCATATATGGTCACTTCGAGATGGGGTTACGCAGACACAGTCGCAATGGCGAACAATGAGAGGCGCGTGAACGTCAGCGAGCTCCAGAAATGGATACAGCGAGACAAGCCAACGATGACGCCTGCACCAAGTAGATCAAGCCGACTTCAGTCGCACGTATTTGACGGGGGGACGAGTGTGGTGAGAGCAGGCTGCTAGCCGATTGGTTGGCACTAATCTACGTTAAGGTCTAGGTCACTAATATGGGCCGTGAGAAAATATGAACAAGCCTGAGTCAACAACCAATCACAGCAAAGTTAACGTGGCAAAATATGATTCGCAGAGAGAACTCTATTTGTCAAGGAATCCCGAAACAACCAATCAGAAGCCTGCGTTTGTCTACCTAAACAACCAATCAGATGACTGCGCTTGTCTATAATAATGTAGTTGAAAGATGTATAAATACGTGTTGATTTTCATAATAAAACGATCTGTTGCCTGGCCCTTGTCTTCTGTTGTTACAGTAGTAGTAATTTTATTTTATTATTTTTATTACTGTCTTTATATGAAGGGATTTGAAAGAGGTTGCTTCATTCACTTTGTCTCAACTACAGGAGGAACAGACGAGGATGTCAAAATGAGCGAGAATCGGAAAGGCGAGAAACACATTCATCAACCTGAAACCAATCTGGAAATCCTCGCCACTCAGCATCAACAACAAAATTCTATCAGATTTTCAATACAAACAGCGTCAAGTCAGTCAGTTCTTCTATACGGATCAGAAAGTTGGCCGGCGGGTCATAAATAATATTTCCAACAGCCTATTGCAGACCTTTATCAACCAACAACTGCCAACTATCGTTCTATACTGAAGATCAGATGGCCGGGCCGGAAAGGATCACCAACAAGAAACTATGGCTGGGAACAAACAAAAGAAGAACTAATCAATCGCACAACAAATATGCAGGAGGGAGGAAGTAGAGATGGATTGGACACTCGTAGCTGAGGGGGCCGCTGGATGACATCGCGCGCGCGTCAGGCCATTGCTCGAGTGGAACCAGGCTGAAAGGGAAGTGGCGAGTGGGTCGTCAGTGCAAGGGTGACATGGAGGAGATGGTGTAAAGAGGAGTTGAAACGGTATGTATGGACTAACATGGATGCAGGTGAAAAGTACAGCAGAAGGAAGACAGAAGCAAGTGGATACGTGGAGTTGAAGCCCTATGTTCCACTAGGAACCCAAGGGAAAAATAATAATAAAAATATTAATATGCAGGTTATGTAGGTTTAGTGATTGCTGGTCCTCACAATTCGGCAACGCGTATGTGCAATCTTGTAGGAATTCATTTCCATTCTGTTATTCGAATCCGGACCACTTAGTCCATGCGATCGGAGACGTTACCACTGGGCTATTCGGACCACTGCGATTGTCCTCCTGGAAAACCGTAATGGATACTTTGATTGGACACTAGGTAGCAGTGACGTCCTCTGACTGCACCACTGGTTGACTGGCGTTTGAGAATCTCAGAAGGGATATGAGTTCCTTCAAGATTTTAGGTATGCCTTACTCACTGATCAGAGTGCCTACACGCACAAAATGTAGGTCTAAGGTTTCCTGTCGATCGCCTCCAGCCACCTAGCATGGTGGTGGTCACATTACAGATTTGCTTGATCGAATTCATTCTGTACCGAATGAAGAACTAGATGCTTGATATAAGTTAGTTATATTACCTAATATCCAATCAAAGTAATTTGCATGATACATGTGTATGTAAGCATATAATACCTTTATTCTTTTAATATTTCAGAAATTGATATCCCTAAATGTACTTTGGTACTGCGTAAACCTGCATCTGAATCAAGTAATTTAAGTAAATTCGACAACAACAGTGTTGAAATGGATCCAACAGTTGAATCGACTAATTTTGTCGAGTTGACGAATACCGCCGCCATCACCACCACCATGACAACAACAACAGCAACGACACCAACGGGAACAAGTACACCTATCACAGCGATGGCGATAGCAAGTCCAACATCGCCACCAACAACAACAACCACAACAACGACAGAAATGTCTTCATCATCATCGTCATTCATTGGTAGTATGACTAATTCATTCTCCTTTCCAACTGTCTCCTCCTCCTCCTCATTTAACATGGGAAAAGATTCAATTTATCATCGACAGAAAATGTTTAACAACTCGGAAGGAATTAACAATAATACGAATAATAATGTTAATATTAATAATAATAAATCACATCATAGTGTTTCAACTGATTGGAATTGGTGGCCATTGAATTTACTGACGTGTATGTTCAGTTCAACTCCTCCACAAAGATTTACAATGTTAATTGCATATGCAATGTAAGTATGAATGAAATGTAGTCATATATTTTTCTTTCCCATTCTTCTACTTGTTACTTTTAATTTTAATGAAATGAGTAACGCGCATTAATTGGGAATATACAGCGTAGGGAAGGTTTTCTGGATAGAGTTTTGTGTACAAAAGTGACTAACTCTCTGTGTGATAATTGTATTTCTTAGGTGCTTACGACTGTAAGATATGGCTGTTGAAAGTCGGAGATATTGATAGGTTAACCGTCTTTGACCATCAATGTTTGCATCCTGTCTATCGTGTTAGGTGGTATAGAGTATTGTAAGTAGTGTTGACATTATACGTCGAATGTTAAGTAAGGAGGGCGGGTCAATCGATGGAGTTGTATCGATTGAAATGTCCAAGATATATGTGATGGGATTTCATCATCGATGAGGTGGTCACTGGCAACTGGCCCTATTCAGGTAGGTAGTTACCTGAGGTTCTAGTCGAAGTCGTGACCACCAGGGTGAAGCAGGTCGGGTGTGAGGACAAATACTCTTCGAAGACGTTGGCTAGCGGTCTCTCTGTGTCGTGAATTGGCAAAAGTTGGAATTCATGAACTGGCCGTTGGATCGGGTCCCAGTGACTAATAAATGGTCTACGAGCTCGCCTTGTAACCAGGAGGTCCTGGGTTTGAACCTCGGTGGGTGCGCACTGATGAAGAGTCCCAAACTAGAGCGAAATAGCTGTCCAGTACTCCCTGCAGGTTTTCCAATGGTTCTTTAACCAATTTCAGTTCCTGACGAAATCCTGTAACCAGCCAATCAAATCCCTACAAACCAATACTTGAAAATATATTATGCTTTCTAACCTGTTGCCTTCCTCAACAATCAATGTTAGCTGACAGAGAATTAGACCGGAGAAGAGTTATGCTGGTCAGTTCAATATACAGCATTAATCCATGAAGTGTTTGACTGCCGGTTTCATCCATGTAGGGGAATATAGACTGTTAAGTTGGGGTTGTGTTGAGACAATAAGGACTAATGGCTGAGGACTGTTGTTGACATAGCTGAAAATCGTCCTCAATGATTGAGATGCATTCTTTCTTTGTGATCGCTCAGATTCATCCAGTGCTTCTCTTGTACATTTCTGTTTATTATAGTTTCTTTGGATTTCTTTTTTCTTTACCTGTGTGCTTTTTTTATAAAGTGTGACAAATGGAACTGATGTATCTTGTGCATAGTTCTACGTTGACAGTTTCACTTCAGTCTGTCATTCAGAGAACTAAACAATTATGACAGTTTTGAAGGGCATGAATGCAAGTTTTGTGCTTGTTGACAAATTAGTGACAAATTTTTTTAACTTTCGCTATCTGGTTTTCGGTGTGTCCATCTGGTGAAATCCATGTCGCTTTGTGTATATCCTTGTATTTGAACACACTGCCACCAATCACCAAATCATTGAAGGCGCAGAAGTCTGAGAAGAGTTCACCGCTGTTGTTCATTTCAATCTCAAGGAAGTTGAGACGGAGTCTACTGGATACAAGATCGAGGAGAGGAGCAGATGTCGGTTCAGACCACTATCCAGTATAAGGGACTTTCAAGGTGAAACTAAAAGCCTCGAGGATAGCTGGGGATAGGCCACAATTCAAGTTCAACACTCAGAAACTGAAGGACACAACCACAAAAGACACTTTCACTACAACTGTCAGAGCAAAGCAGGAAACACTACGTGACATCACTGAGGAATCATGCATGGAAGACCATTGGAACTCTCTGAAGGTAATATTCAAGGAAACGTGTTCAAAGGTTTTAGGAAGAAAGAAGAGACAAGACAAGGAATGACTCTCAATGGACACTTGGAAGCTAATAGAAGAGAGGAGAATGGTGAAAGAGAAAATGATTCAATGCAAAGACGGACAAGAGAAGGAGACGCTGAGTTCAACTTACACAGTACTGGACAAAGGAGTGAAGGGGGGTGCTAGGAAGGACAAAAGACAATTCTACGACAACCTGGCCACTGAAGCAGAGGTGGCAGCAGGCAAAAGGGACCTGAGGACACTATATCAGATAACCAAGTCTCTATCCGGGAAGAGATCAACACAAGTGAAACCTATAAAAGACAGCCAAGGGAACCGAATTAGCAGGGAAGGAAGACAGATTAAACAGTGGGCGGATCACTTCAAAGGACTCTTGAACCGACCACCACCTGCAACCCGTGCAGAAATACCAACAACAGTGCGTACACAACTGCATGTTGACACCAATTCTCCAACGAAAGCTGAAGTCTTGAATGCAGTCAAGTTCTTCTATACGGATCAGAAAGTTGGCCGGCGGGTCACAAATAATATTTCCAACAGCCTATTGCAGACCTTTATCAACCAACAACTGCCAACTATCGTTCTATACTGAAGATCAGATGGCCGGGCCGGAAAGGATCACCAACAAGAAACTATGACTGGAACAAACAAAAGAAGAACTAATCAATCGCACAACAAATATGCAGGAGGGAGGAAGTAGAGATGGATTGGACACTCGTAGCTGAGGGGGCCGCTGGATGACATCGCGCGCGCGTCAGGCCATTGCTCGAGTGGAACCAGGCTGAAAGGGAAGTGGCGAGTGGGTCGTCAGTGCAAGGGTGACATGGAGGAGATGGTGTAAAGAGGAGTTGAAACGGTATGTATGGACTAACATGGATGCAGGTGAAAAGTACAGCAGAAGGAAGACAGAAGCAAGTGGATACGTGGAGTTGAAGCCCTATGTTCCACTAGGAACCCAAGGGAACAATAATAATATAATAATAACAGTGATGTAGGTTCGAACCTTTTATAGATGTGTGTTTGTTTGACGTAAGCTTTTCATACTTTTTGTGTGATAAGTAGTAATGAAATCTGATTGGACCAAAAGCAGTTACTGTCAGAGTGTAAGTTGTTTACACTGTGCAAGTGGTCTATGGGCGAAGTCGTACTGCTAGAGAATTGGTTAGTAACGGCAGTAAGGTGTTTCCCTCAGATGATCAATATGTCTGACTGACTGGTTTCAACATAGAACTTTGGACCAAAGTGCAGCAATTCAAGTCGCCACACTTCACTCAGAACACAAAGCCAGAGAAGAAGAAAGTAAAAAAGAAACGAAAAATAGAGACAGTAAACAGAGATATGAGTCAAAAAGAATAGTGATATCAAAGAACTATATAGTTTTATTGTATATTATAAGTGACAAGGAGTGGATGCATCTGCTCCAGCCATCACTGAGACTGATTTTGAGCCATAACACCAATTGTCTCCACCCAGTGGTGTTTACCCTCCCGAGGACCCCAACCAGCAAGTACATCTTCCTACGTGGCGTTAACTAACTTCTTTGAATTTCATTGACTGATGAAGGTATGTTTTGGTTTGACCACCACTGGCTCGTTTTCAACCTGATCCTGTGTCAGCTGACATTGTCCATCGAGGAAGGCGATGGCTAGGAATGCATGCGTAACACATATCCTAACCATCTTAATCGATGTAACTTCGCACCCTCATCTATTGATTTTCCATCCTTACCTAGCATGATCAACATGCCACTTATGCTCCTGCTTCTCTACTCTGAAGAGTGTGTGGCGGGCAGTAGCTAGAAAACGTCGACTCCGAAAATTGTACATCTTGACTTACCCTGCAGCTATCCGTAGCTCAAATACACAGCAGTGTATGGCTGGCCCTGACTAGTAGTTGTCCCCTGGCTGCTTCCGTGTGGTCAAACAATACCAATGCTTTCCCTATCTCAGGTACCCAAAGAAATCAGTCGCCATGATGAAGGTAGCTGGGAAGCAACCACTGCCCATAACATTACCAGTCAATGTGTATTGTCCGATTATTTTATGCATCGTATATCTTAGTAACTATGATGTATACCAAATTTGTGTTTCACTAAATAACTGAAAATTTGCTTTAAATGCCTAAACTGTAATAAGTTACAATAAATGTTTTTCCTCCGTTTGAGTAGCTTACTGAATGGCATGTATGTGTGTTTGTGTGTAGTTCTTTAGTTTAGATTGACCTATATAAACATCATATATATATATATATATATATATATATATATATATATATATCCATATTCCTTCTAATCAATTTTTGTCTTTATGGCAATCAATCTACTCTTACACCAGTTGTTATTCAATCATTTCTACTCTGATGTTTACCTATAATACCAGATATACTTGTGTGTGTGTGTGTGTATGAGTATCTATGATCACGTGATTATTATATAATCTTGAATAAGTATAAGAAATATATCATGGGATGAGTGGTTGTTTCATAATATATATGTATGCATCACAAACAGACACACAACTGCATGAATCCACACACACACACATAGTACTATTATGGGAATTGGCATATAATCTACGCAGTGGTTTACATAGAAAGAAGTGACTTTAGCTTGTTTGTTTGTTGTTCTGATTTTTCTCTCGTTTCTTCTATGCATCACCTGAATAGATTGAATTTTGATGAAGAGTTGTACGTAGAAAGCCATGTTAGTGTTGCTAACTGGAGGCTAATCAACTACGCAATAGAGTGGGTGGGAGAGGGTTAAAATTCTAAGAAGTAATATAGGTATGTGGAGAGCGAGAGAGAGAGGTTGATTACTGAATCCTGAGTAATCCTGAATCATTGAGTCTACACCTAACACATGCAACACAAATGACTCAATTCAAATACCAGAAATATCGAAGATATTATTACCACCAGTTAGTCAAACCAGAGGAGGATAATAAATAATCTTAAAAATTCTACTTCAATTTACGTACATCATAAAATTCTAACAAGTCATTTATTTATTTTGACTATAAAGACACTCGTCTTATTTCCCATCTGATTATATTTTATTGATAACACTCTTATTATTTCTGAATGTACCTTATATTGATTTTTATTGGAATATCTAATCAATTCCACCCATGTATATAAATGAAGGAAAAACGTTATGTGAGTGACTTGATATGATTATGAGCGGTAGTAGTTTGTGCTCGAAACTTGGTCATCAGCTAATATTACTGTGTA